CTACCAAACTGAGGACAGGACAACAAAATTGAGGGCGGGACACACGTCCATTCTGGGGATAAGTCCACAGGCTTCTCAGGGCTGCTGTCACAGATCATTGTAAACTAGGTGCCTTAAGTAACAAATGTATTCTCTTACAAATCTGAATCTGAAGGTCTGAAGCCTGGCGGAGGCTTCCTCCCCTGAGGGCTCTGGAGGAGCCTGCATTCCTTGCCTCTCAGTCTCTGGCAGCTGCCCCTCCACTCCTGGGCACAGCTGCGGCTTGCCAAGCCCTCCTCCACCTTCAGCTGCATGTCTCCCCTGCCTGTTTTTCCCATGTGTGTTTAATCTCTCTCGCTTCCCTCTTATAAAAAAAAAAAGCACATGATTGCGTTTGGGGCCCATCTGGATAACTCAGGGTAAGCTCCTACAGGATAGATTCTTGACGCAATCACGTCTTTTACAATTAAAAGCAATACTCACTCTGTTGCCATAGAAGGTCACATTTACAGGTTCCAGAAATTAGAAAGTGAATACAGCAGCCTTCTTTGATCTGATGGAGATACACTCCAAGACCCCCAGTGGATGCCTGAAACTGGACAGCACCAGAGCCCTGTGTACGCTGTTTTCTTGATTTCATGATGGAGACAGCTGCTGCATGAGTGAAAGGCAGGTACTGTATTCACTGTGGAGGCTCTGGACAGAGGACGAGTCATGTACCAGGCAAGAGGACTCAAGATCTTACCATGCTACTCAGAACACAATTTAAAACTTAGCAATCGTTTATTTCCAGAAATACCTGTTAGATAATTTGAGACTGCAGTTGACCCAGGGTAACTGAAACCTCAGAAAGCAAAACCTTGGATAAGGGGAGCTGCTGGACATCCTTGGGGCCACTATCCGGCTTATCACAGGAAAGACTCTGGATGGACTGTGGGCACGTCCCTGGAACAAATATGTGACCTTGAAGTAGACGAGGAAATAAAAATTTTGTTATACACATAAATTCCATTTGCGTCTGTCAGAAAACAAGAAGTTTTACTTGTTACTTTCTGTGCTGGGTAAGCCTCTTTAGTTTTTGTTCCATGAACCTGCTAAAGACAATGAAGCATATCCAAACAATGCACTACAAATAGAAGTAAAGGAAGCTTTTTTTTGTTTGTTTTTGAGACGGAATCTCACTCTGTTGCCAGGCTGGAGTGCAATGGCATGATCTTGGCTCACTGCAACATCTGCCTCCCGGGTTCAAACAATTCTCCTGCCTCAGCCTCCTGAGTAGCTGGGACTATGGGTGTCCACCAACAAGCCTGGCTAATTTTTTTATTTTTAGCAGAGACGGGGTTTCACCATGTTGGCCAGGATGGTCTCGATCTCTTGACCTCATGATCCGCCCGCCTTGGCCTCCCAAAGTGCTGGGATTACAGGCGTGAGCCACTGTGCCCAGCCCGTAAAGGGAACTTAATATGTTATTAGCCTTGATGATGAAACCACAGCGTGTCTCCTGGTGTGAGTTCTGCTGGGACAGACACCTACCCACTCCTGAGCCTTGGAGCAAAGTTACCTCCTGTTTTGCCTGTTTTATATAAAGCCTAGAAATAGACACAAATTTGAAAACATTTATCTTTTTGAGATTTATATAATAAAAAATTAGTAAATTTGTTGCCCAGAATACAGTCATGTATCATATAACAATGTTTCAATCAACGTCAGACCACATGTGTGATGGTAGTCCCACAAGACTGTAATACTGTAAACTTTCTAAATTGACTTGAGACATGTCTCAGATGCTTTCTGGTTCACATAGGTTTCTTTTAGGGGCAATGAAGGTGTTTTATAAACCACTCTCCCTAAAATCAGGTAGTGGTGATGGCTGCTCAACTGTGAAGACACCAAAAAACACTGAATTGTACACCATAAAAGGGTGAGTTTTATGGTACGTTGTTAAAAGTTGTTTAAAAGTGAGGGACCCCTCCAGTTATTGGTATGGAATGATCTTCAGGAAAAGCGTATAAAACGCTACATTCTGTACACGAAAGGGGAGGTGGGTATGAATATGTATTTGTATTGCTTTCTTCTAGAAACCGCCTAGGCGTGAAACCAGATTCCTCAGTTCTTTTCAGCCCTACCTGGAGCTCCCTTTAGAAAACCTTTTCCCTCAGGTCACATTAATCACCATGTCCGCCTCCCCACTCGGCACTAAGCCTTAGGGGGGCAGTGCTCGGTAAGTATTTGCTGCGTAAATGAACGAATACTTTACCTTTGCAATGTTTAGATACGTTCGGATCCATAAATAGTTGCCATCATGTTACACTTGCCTGCGGTATTCAGTACTGTCACATGCTGAGCAGGTGTGCCGCCTAGGAGTGACAGGCTGCACACTGCGGCCTGGTGTGCAGTAGGCTGTGCCATCTGGGCGTGTGTAAGTGCGCTCCATGGTGGTCACACGACTATGAAATCACCTCCGACGCATTTCTCAGAATGTATGCCTGTTGTTAAGTGACAGGACTGCAGTTGTGAAAGTTGCAGGCCTGAGAACTCAGGGTCTCTCCTTGCAGCGGACAAGGCTGGCGCCAGAGGGCGCGTCTGGCACACAGGAGGGAAGTAACCCGGCACAGAGAAACCCTGAGACAACGCGGGGCCGTGTTCAGTGATGTTAAGAGCCAGTTACAGCTGCCATTTACCACGTGCTTCCTGGGCACTGCGCTGCCTGCTGAAACAGAGGTTTTTGGTTGTCATCAGTACCATAGCCTCCTCGGAAGCTTTTATTAATATTCTCACTTTGCAGACAGAAGGAACCAAGTCTTAGCAATAATCAAGTGACAAATTTGAATTTTTGTCCAGGACCACACTGAGCTAGCACGCATGTCTGGCCTGCTCTGGGGGCAGACATGTCAGGACTAGAGAGGCACGGGAGCGCTGTCTGAGTCTGGAGCTCAAATGGCGAATCCAGAGAGGCCTCGCTGAGTGAGTGTTGTGCTCAGTGTTGGTTTCATGTGGATCAATTTGGGCTTTTATGGCAAAGCCACAGGTAGGGTAAGGTCTCGGGCTTCCTTATTCCTGTGCCTCCCAGGGGGTGAGGGGAACGGGCCCAATGCCTTCCTCTGCTCCACCCACCTTGCGGGATCTTGGGAGGGCCGGGCCCAGGCTGGGAGGGGGTCTGGACTTGGGACCGCCCTGCACATCCTGGCCCTGGGTGATGGAGGCCGGCACAGGTGGCTGCAGGAGGGCTCCAGTTTGGTCTCTTTGCTCATTGTTACCCTAGGATCTTCCTTCCGTCACAGGCTGGAGACCTGCGGCTTCTCAGAGGCAGGGGCACAGATCTGGAGGCTGTCTTTACGGGGATAGCAGTCGCCTGTCTCTCACATTCTTGCAGAGATTAAAAGAAGCCGTCTCGGAAATACCTGGCCTGTGGTGGAATGTGGTGGCTTGTCACCTCTTCGCAGGTCACATAGGAAGACTTGAGGACACTAGCTGGTGACACACCTTCCCCCGCCTCCCCAGCCCACCCACCCCAGGGAGAACTCGCCCTTGGCTACTTCCAGTCCTTCACGCTGCTTTTCAGGGATATCCTCTGGCTCCTCTTTTAGCAGATGGAGCACAGCTGGTCCTCTGCACACGTGGCTGCGGGCCTTGCCCCTGTGAGAAACAACTTCCAATGATCATAAGCATCTGCTCAAATTCAACCTCAGTGATCTGTCTGAGCAGTGTCGTAAACAGAATTTAGGACTGAGCCCACCACTCCAATGGCAGCTGTCTCACTGCCTCTGGGGTGTGACTCCCTCTCCCATTTTTTATGTATCTGTGCACCAAGCCCTTCTTGCCCCTCACCCTCTAAGACGCCTATTGTTGAGGGGAAGCTCTGAGCCCAGGGGGCTCTCTGCTGCCTCAGGGGAGCAGAAAAGACTGTGGTCTCCTGTTCCCAATGTGTGGGGGTGCCGGAGAGGCAGGTGCCGCTGGGATGCTGATCAGTATCCAAGGAGGAATCCCACAGTCTCTTGAGAGATGCGGCGGAGCCCAATGGTCTCTCCAGCGCGTGACGCCCTGTTTTCTGTCTTCTCCACCACTCAGTTTCGGCTGTTGAATGTGACACTGGATGGGAGCAGGGAGACTTCTAATCCAAGCACAGACTTTACTGTGTGGGTACTTTCTCTCAGTTCTCCTGGTCTGGAAGTGCTCCCTGGTGTCTTGCTCCAGCACTTCCTGCTGCAGTGACAGTCTGCATGTCACAGCTGTGTCACTTAGGGAGCCATCTGCCCTCACCTGTTGGGTTCCCCAGAACCTTCACATGGTCCTTCATCCCATTTGTGTCTCACAGACAAGAGTCTGTTCCCTCCTCACCAGGATCCTGGTCTCTCCTGTCTCCGTTTGGCTGCCCCGGTCTGGGCTCAGTATGCTAGTTACTGTTTGTCTAATTAGTACTGTGGGACCATCACAGGAGAAATGGCACAGCACTCACCGGTACAGACTTGGGCTAAGGCCCCCCCATGACTGAGATGGATGTTCTTGAATCCCTTTCACAGAAGCCTGGGCTCCAAGGTTTCGGGACCCGTAAGCACCCGGGGCTGAGGCTGCACGTGCTGCTGCTGACCCCAGGTGCTCCTCACCTGCACTGCCTGCTCTCTCCTGTCGTGCCCACTGTCCAGGACTCTGACAGTCCTTCCTGCCTCTCTACCTAGGACTGCTGGGTGCTGAGAAAACCCCCGCACTCACAGGAGACCCAGTAAAGCCAGTGCCCACCAGAACCTCTGGAGAGCAGAGGCCAGGAGAGGAGGCTCCTCCAGCCTTGGACTCAGGATAATACGGCCAGGTTCCTGCTAGACATTTTTGAGCTCACAAACACAGTCTTCCTGCCTATCTACCCCCTCAAAATAAACATAGGGCTCTAGGGGTCACACAAGGACACCGTGCGCTCTCCAGGGCGCGGACGACAGACGCTAGTGGTAGAGCCATCATTTCCTTAGAGAGTCAGTCTTTCAGCTTCCATGGAGCTGTTCGAGTGCAGCGCCCATGGAATGTGCCCACTGGGCATGGATCATCATTGCCTGCCCCTTCTCCAGGGCTCTGATGCGGAGCTTTGAGGGCTAATAATTAACAACATCTGCACCAAAAATAGCAGGGGGAGAAATTCCAATGGGTCATTCCTGGACAGAGAAACACAGAATGTTCCCGAAAACTGGAGACTCTTAAATGCTGTGGAGAGGTGGACCCTGCTGGAAGAGATGGGAGCAGACGGTCCAGTCTCCCTGGGGCTTCGGCCTATTGAATTCTGGGTAAGGTGGGCATCTCTTCTCATAGTCTCGGTGTGGTGGAAACAGAAAAGCCCAGGCCACTTGTCAAGAAAGGACATGGAGAATGAAGAAGAGGCTTATTTTGGATCATGAACCTTAGGAGGAAGCTTGGCATGTTAATCAATTTATTTATATGGATAAATCCCACTTGCTTCCAAAAGAGGGCCTTATGCTCAACCCACTGAATGTCAGAGCCGAAGAAGGCCTCGGGGTCAACCAGCCCCAACTCCTCCTTTAATAAATGCGGGGACCTCCGATTTTTCCAAGGAAGGCACCTGCACCCAGACCTCTTGACCTGTAGTCCCCTGCTATTTCCACTGCAGGAGGCTGTCAACGGGAAAGCGGTGAGCACAGCATGCAGTACCAGCTCCTCCCCGGGTCTCTAGCCTGCTGGCTGACCCTGAGTATTTTGGGCTTGCTAGCCCTTATAACTGCATGAACTAATTCCTTAAAGTTAATTTTCCCTTGTTTTCTCTCTCTCTTTCTTTTGCTCTTTCTCCTTCCCAACCCCCACACACTCCTACTGGTTGTTTCTCTCTTGGGAACCCTGACTAACACACTTGTCTTTTAGGGGTCAGAGGAAACACCCCCTTCCTGCCCTCCCCCAGTGTCATCAGAGCACTGATCAAGGGCTGGAATCTGCCCTCCTGAGGAAGAGCCCAGCTGAGCTCAGTGATGGTCAAGGTGGGTGGGAGTGGGTGCTCAGTGTACTCATTGTCTCCAGAGCTTTCTGCTTGCTGTGTTGTGATGGTGCACACTTGTGGTCCCAGCTACTCAGGCGGCTGAGGTGGGAGGACTGCTTGAGCCTGGGAGATCGAGGCTGCAGTGAGCTAAGATTGCCCCACTGCATTCCAGCCCGGGTGACAGAGCAAGACCCTGTGTCAACATAAAGAAAACCAACAAACAAGAAAAGAAAACAAATTGTACCTGCTTTGACTTGGATTCATTATTTTTGACCATTTTATTAATGTATTGATTATATTCATGTCCCTCCTTCTCGCCTCCTCCCTAAAAGGGCTTGGAGAAGCTTACTATAGAACTTACAGTACAGCTGATGGAAATAGAAAAAGGAAGAAAAACTCAGCACCATGGAGAAAAGGAGAGAGCCTTACCATCTCTTCTGTCTGTGAGGACAGCTCCACTTTACCAGACGCCAGCTGTCTCTGAGCTCCCTAAATATTCACAAGCACCCCAAGATCCATGCGCCGTGCCCACTTGAGGGAGCTCCTGAGGTGGTATCTGGAGGTTTCAGAGGTTTCTGAACTAGACTCCTGCTCTCTTTCTTCACAATAAGTAGGAAAGATTAATTTGAGCCATACCTGCTGAAGCAGAGTGTAATCACGGATATAATCATGACTTCATCGCAATCACAATTTACAGCTGATTTTGGTAAATTTTCAGAAATAATGAGAACAGTGATTGTGACACCAGTGTAATGGCAGTCAGTGTAATGCCCGGGGTTGGCTAGTGAGGGCAAGGGAGCTGCCCTTCACTGCATGGGCTTGAGGGAAAGTCCCACACTCACAGTGTCAGACTGTGACAATGAGTTTGCCTGCTGGCTCAGTTCCTTTGAGGCTACTGGGCCATCCAGGCCAGCCGGGGGCATCTCCCTCCTTCCCCTGTGCCCCATGAATCTCACTAAAGAGAAAGAACAGGCTGGTTTCCCATGGGAGGCTTCCCTGCAGGCCAGGGAGCTCTTCACCTCCTTCCTCTACTGCGGGAGGCCATCCACTGGCAGAATTCCCTCTTCTTCATGAAGCTCATCTTTTCTCTTATGGCCTTCAACTGATTGGATGAGGCCCACCCAAATTGCAAAGGGTAGTCTATTTTACTCTAATATACTGATTTAAAGCTTACTCTTATGTAAAATATCTCCTCACCATGACATATAGTGAAGCGTTGACAAAATATTTGGTTATGATGACCTAGCCACGTTGACACATGAAAGTAATCATCACGATGAGACACACAGAATTTGAGAAAAAATAGAGAACGTACATGGACATAGGGAGGGGGCATCACACATTGGGGTCTGTCAGGGGAAATAGGGGAGGGACAGCGGGGGGTGGGGAGAGATAGCATGGGGAGAAATGCCAGATACAGGTGATGAGGAGGAAGGCAGCAAATCACACTGCCATGTGTGTACCTATGCAACAATCTTGCATGTTCTTCACATGTACCC